GTTTTTCCTTGAGAAAATACTGAGCTGCATTACATGCCAGAGCATCACTTGAAAGAGTGGACTTATTCCACTTGCCTTATACTTTACAGTAGGTGTCAATGGAGTATAATTCATAAATATGACTAACCCACACCCACCCCACTCCTTGTGCATTATTATACTTAAAAGCTTGCACAGGTAAGCCTCAACTTACGACCACAATTGAGCCCCAAATTTCTGTTGTTAAGCGAAACATTTGTTGAGCTTTGTCCCATTTTACAACTTCCCTGGGCACATTTGGTAAGTGAAGCACTGCTGTTGTTACATTTGTAGTGCAACATCTGGTTTCCCCGTTGACTTCGCTGATCAGAATGTCGCAAAAGGGGACCAGGTGACCCCAAGACACTGCAACCGTCACAAATGTGAGTCAGTTGTCAAGCATCCAAATTTGGATGTCATGGCCATGGAGATGCTACACACAGACACACACACACACACATATGAAAAATAGTCATAAGACACTTTTCAGTGCCTGTTGTAACTTCCAACTTTGTTCTGAGTGCTCAGGTCTATGATACTATGAATCCACGATTGTACTGATAGCATCATATGTGCAGCCTGTTTACACGGAATTATGACACTCTAAATCTGATTTCTGGGAGGAAATATAATCAGGAGTGAATCAGGACCTTTGCTCAACTCCTGAGTTAACATGGGCTATAAACCTTAGTGGTTATAATCCTATATGCATGTATTGGGGAGGCGTTTTCCCATTTTTCATTGAAGCAATAATGGCACTGTCCAGTCTAACATGGACCCTTAACTCTTTGTTATTTTCCAATGCTATATACACACTTGCATCTAGTTTAAATCCTGGGGCAGAAAAAGTGGGTGTCAAAAAAAAATGGAAAGGGTAATCTTGTAAACTATTGGGAAAAATGAGTGGATGTGAAGATGGATGTGCAAGTGAGTATGAATAGGTACGATATGGTTCCTCCTGTCCAGTGCGAGGGGGAATGTAAGGAGATTTGTACCCAACTAATTAGAAATCTGGCCCTATTGTTCCAGAATCTCACTGTCTTTAAGGGAAACCAAATTGAAGTCTATTCCTGGCCTTGGAGATAAGATCCAGACCCCTTATTTTGATGCAAATCTTGAAAGCTATCTAAGGAAAGGTATCCTTGAACTCAACTGGGCTTCCAGCAGGAGTCTCTGAGAAAAAAAACTGCCTGGTTCAGTGGTGTATAGGCAGACTCTCCACACATTTTTTGGGACGTGCTTGATGGCTGACAGGATCCTCAAAGTTGAAAATTTAGTCGGACCAAAATGCCACAGAAGTCCTGGGTATTTGTGCTAAACTGACACAAGGAGAGTTGTACCTATGTGGTACAAAATATTATCTGTCTCCTTGGCCCTAGGAACTACTTTTTTTTTTTTTTTTTTTAATGTGAGTCGGTTTGCATACTGTACAAGGACCTGGAAGGAAGGCTTGTTTTAAAATAAAATTTATGGGGTGGAGAAGGGGGAGGGGAATGGTGTTAAAATCCACCATTAATTCTGACTTTGAAGTCATCCTACTCCAGAGTAGCTTCCTTTTCGGCCGACCAACTCATCTCGAGGAAGTGGTTTCAAACATCCCAGCCTCGAGTTTTTAAATCATATTAATGCAATTTCCCGTTAAGCTTCTCCTTAATATATATTCAAGATGGTCCGTATAAGTGAACCCTTCTCGACGTAATTTATATATCTAAGAGGATTTCACAGAGGCTGGCGAGGTAAAAGTTTCTGCAAATAAAACATTGTAAATGCAATGCCGGGCAGCGTGCCAGGTACAATATGGATAGCAGGGATCATGGCAGAAAGTCTTTTCACAGAGACATATACCATTTCACGGTAGCAGCCTATAGCGCTTTTCAAAACTTCCCATTTTCAAGGGAGACGTGCTGGCTCGAGTGAGATTTTTGTCCTGGGTTTGTAATGGAGAGCTCTCCTACTTTAGTCTCCCTTGGCTTTCCAAGCTCTGAGGCAGACCCACACAAACGCGCGCGCGCGCACACACGTTTAGGGTTTTGGAGGCTTCTCCCTCCACCCTCCGCGAGAGAAACCTTCCCGGAGAAAAATTTCGTACGGTTCTCTTTTTTGTACCTCTCTCCCTCCTTTGGGGGCTGGGGCGAAAAAGATTGAAGCTTAAGTTTTATTATTTGTGCCTCCCCCCTCCTCGATGTTTCACTAGCTCTACTGTGTTCTTGTGTGTGTGTGTGAGGGAGAGCGCGCTCCTCTGAGGGCATTTTTGTGTAGGTTTTGCGGGCGGGGGAGGGGAAGGCGAGGAGGGAGCGGATGTGAACGGCTCGGCGCTGAACTTGGATGCAACGTCTGCCTAGAGGGCGCAAACCAGCATCCCGCGTCCAAAAGTCTTACGAAGGGCGCCAAAAGTTACTTAAGATAATATTGCTAACCACAAAGAGCTGGAAGTCGTGGAGCAAAAACCGCATGCCAGTGAGGGAAGGACAGCCAGGGGCTCGATCCTGCCTCCATCGCCAATTCCTTTTTTTACCCCTTTCTTCTTCCTCCATTAGGAGGAAATTGGAGTACAAATAAATAAATAAACAAACAAACAAACAAACAAATAAATATCTGGCTTAAGTTACACAGAATGATCAGGAAGGAGGTGGGATATCTAAATGTGGGGGAGGGGGGGAAAGAGGAAGAGTTTGTGAAATGGACACCCACAATAAAAAACAGGAACGTTATTAGTCTCCCCCTCCCCACCCCCGGGGGGGGGGAGGTATCAAACCATTAAAAAAAAGAACAGTTTTTGTGGTCTCTTGCTCAACAAAATAAGCTCAGTGGTCTCGTTAAACCCAGTGCCTTACTTAACTTGCCTGCCTTTTCACACAACTACTGGACTGCTATCAGGAAAGGTCTGGGAACTGGTGCCAAGCTGTCAGTCTGTGGCTAACCAGTGGGGCACATTTACCGCCATGGGGAAAGGATTCAGCTTCCCCTTGCCACCACAGACACCGCTTTGGAAGTATTTGTGGCCGTAGTGCCCCACACATGCCAAAACCTGTGTGTAGTGTCTGATGTAGGGACTGTGAATAGCCTTAAGCTGGGTTGGTTGTGGCAAGCAGCAGGAACTACACCTAATCTACATCAGGGGGATACACAGCAGAGGAAAGGAAAATGTTCTCTGGACCAGCAAGCTCTCTTGAGTTTAGAGAAGGTTGAAAAAAATTGGGCAAACCACATTTGGAGCATATGGAAAGCAATAAAAAAATGGTATTTTCATGGTATTTGAGTTGTTTTTCCTCAGTATTTTTGCTCTAAGCAAGTTTTGTCAACCAGAAAATCCTGCCCAGGAAACTTGGAAAACGAAGAAATCCCATTAAATGTCTTTCCATGGCTTTATGTTAATCAAAGGTATCTTGGCCACTCTTTTTTTTTATTATTATTAAGAAGCTTGGAATGGAGCCTTCACCGAAATCAACTCTCTGCAGCCTACAAATGATAAGATTTGAGTGACACATTCAAAAGAAATCAAGTAATATAGGCCTTATCCCCTGGATAGACTTTTAAAAGTTTTCCTGCCTTTAAAAAAAAAAAAAGTCTGTAACATTTTAAACTTTTGAGGCACCTAAATCTAAGCTTCATAAAGGAAGGCTGGCAAGCAGAATGTGGTATGTCTTGTGGTATCCTCTTCCCTTTTTTTAATGAATGGTTATGGATCTGTCAAGTGTCTGAAGGCTGTTGGTTTTTTGGGGAAAGGATAGAAGATCAGAAAGGACTCCACTTAGTAGATTTAGTAAGACTAGAAAGAAAATATAAAGCTCAGGGCAAGAAAATGCTGGCTTGCTGGCAATTTTCCAAACCCCCAAAAACCAAAGCTTTTCTTGTGCCAGAACAATGCATTATGATAAATAAAGGATGGAAGGCTGGATTCTTAGTTTAATCACTTTTAAGTAGTAAATACTGATGCTTTCTTCTTGTGGGTTGCAATGCAGTCATTAAGTTCTGCATTGTTAGTAAAAGCAGCAAAGCTTTAACCTTTTCAAAGTAGAAACAAACAAGCATGGGCATTCATGAAATGGCTGGAAAATGCTGAGCTTCTCACTGCAATCTTTTTTTTTTTTACCACGATCTTTTGTCAAATGAGCCATACAGATTGATGAACGTCAGCATTTGTAGGTAAATGCATTATTATCTTTATTATTATTATTATTAAAAGGAAATAACCTTTAACACTCCAAAGAATTTCACTTAGGCAGAAAGTTCTTGTGGGGAAATGCAGTTTTTGGTACCTAAAGAACACAATTTTGATACTTGGAGGAGTGTGTTCAAGATAGCACCTATTTAGAATTATATACATTTTAAAGAGTATATACCTATATATATATATATATAGTGAACTGAATACTCTGGGAAGATATTGTAGCCAGCAGGCTTATGTATGGTTCCTCTGAGCAGAAAATATCTCTCTGCAGGAGATGAGCGGTAGGAAAGTTTAGTTCGAAATTCTTCGGAAAGAGAAGGAGGGAAAAAAAAAAAGACGTGTGCGCGCATGGGAGTCGGGGGTGGGTGGGCGAGAGAGACCGAAATGCCAAAAAGAAGTTTTGGTTGCTTAAGCACATCCTGCATAGCCTATAGCCGCTCGGGAGCCCGACAGGCAAGCGGCTCTTAATTGCGTTCCCAGTAATGCACTGAGCACGGGGATCTGGGATAGGGAGGGCTGGCCGAGCAGTAGCACTGCAGCCCCCCTCCCCCGGGCAAGGCAGCGAGCGAGCGAGCGAGCTGCTGCTGCTGCTGCTGTGGAGCGGTGCAGAGCGAAGCAGAAGCTGGCTGGAGGCTCGCTGGCAGGCACCCGGAGAAGCTGGAGCCCGAGGCTTTCTGCTGCCGCTGTCGCTGGAAGCGTGGGGAGGGTGGGGGGAAGTGTGCACTATGCCTTTAACGCCTGGGTACAGTAGACATGTATAGTGTGTAGTGTAGGGAAACTCTAGGCGGGGTTAAAGTTCAGCTCATGGAGCTGATCAGCGCTGGCTGCAGTTTAGCAGAGTTGGAAATGTGAAAGCAAGAAGCAGGCTCGGTTCTTCCCCCTTTCTTTTTTTTTCTTCTCTCTCTCTCTCCCTCTCTCTATTCCTCTCCCTCCCCTTCTCTCTTTTCTCCTTCCCTCTCTCTCCCTCTCTCTCTCTCTCTTCCCCTCTCACTCACACACCTCCAAGCCACAACCCCCCCTACAGCAATCATGTACTCTCCTCTCTGCCTTACCCAGGTAAGAAGCTCTTCGGATTCAATCGGGAGGAGGGGAATGGCGGAGGGGGGTTGCGGGAGGTTCGTCTGAGCGTTGCCGGGGGGGGGGGGGGCGTCGAGGGCGGGAGGGTGAGATCCAGCTTGCGGAAAGTAACTTTCTTTTCCGCGAGGTTACATTCTTGCTCTGGCTCGGCCATTTGTATTAGACACATGGCTAATGGCGCCTTGTTATTAAGGTTTTTATTTAATTAATATGGGGATATGCGAGGGGTTTTGTGTGTGTGTGTGTGTGTGTGTTGGAGAAACCGGGTGTCTCTCGGCAGTGGGGAGGGTTCGTACTGAAATGCGGTGTGGATGTCTGCGTATGTGGGTGTTTAGGACGATCTGCACGTGTTTAGCAGCCTCGCAACCCATAACATGCTTGGTCATCTGAAATCAATACTTACTGTTTGTGCTTCCGAAGCGGACGAACGTGGAACAAACGCAACCCAGATACAATTAGATGCTTTGTGTGTTGTTTTTAAAGTGTAGCATTAAGTAATTGCGTGCTGCGTGTATTCTTTTCCCCGCCTCCCGGACTGCTGGAGCTGCATTGCTTTTTCTCCATAAAGTCCCTCGCGCACTTTTTTGTGTTGGGTATAAAACGTGTAATGTGTTCGGCAGCCTTGGGGCTCAGCCTTTGCCCGTACGCGGCACGCAACGTGTGCTCCGGTCCTCGTCGGAACCGGAGGTCTGGAGAGATGCATTGCACCTAAGCCTCTAACTTTCCCTCCCGTACGTTGCGTCGCGCTTTGCTGGAGAACTTAAGAGCTTTAAGGGAATCCACATTGCGCACCGCGCTAGCTGCAGCGGCCGCAGTTCTGCAATCCGTTCCGTTACTCTCCTGCACGGCCCAGTTCGGGATCTTCGGAGTCTCCAGCAGCCTCTCGTAAGGCGGCTGAGCCAGGGCTATCTATTCCCAGTCAGAGCTGCCCTCCTGGCTGCCTCTAACGCTTGTCACTTGCTCGGGTGTCATATTTGCCTGGGGTTGTTTCCTTTGGGAAGTTAGGTTGGTTGTAATGTCCTGCCCGGGGAAAAGAAGGAGGCGGGGAAGGGAGTTGCTGTTTGGAGAAAGTTGCTGGGTTCCTTTTGTTTGCATCTGAGCGAAGTTCCTCGTGGATTACAAATCAGTCCAAGTGGGTCTCCAGCCCACTTCGCGCCTCCCCAGATCTCCTGATTGCATTACTTTGAAATTTGAAGAGTTGTGCGGATGACGCCTAAATACTACCCAGGCAGATCTTTCTGGGAAACTGCGAACTTTAGGAGTTCGGCAACTTTTCTAACTCCCTACATAACTCCCCCCCCCCCCCCCAGCGCTTCCCCCCCCCCCCAGAAAACTCTAATGCAGCGCCAGATTTTTTGGCAACATTCCCACACTACCCCCATCCATGCTCCTTCTGAGATTAGTTGCCACGATTTAAAATCAGAAAAATAGGTTGCACTTCTGATTCTGCTGATGGTTTTAGCAAATTACATTGCTCGCCCCCCCCCTTTTTTTTCTAACTGATAACCTTGGTAAGACCTTTGGTATTTCCCATTCTGAACAGTGAAACGGGAAAAGTTCCTAGGGAAATTGTGTAGTTTCTTCCATTGCCATTTCAGCACTTCTGCCCCCACAGAAAAAAACAAAACAAAACACTTGTATACTTTAGTTTCTAAATGGTGATGAAAAGGGTGGTTTGGAATTGAGCACTTTGAACACCTTTAAAACACCAGAAAGAAGGAAAAATGAACAATACATGTTTCAAATGACCCAGTGAGAAACTTAGGAATGAATAACTTGGAAAAATTGTGCCCAATGATTCACAAAAGCTGTCACCTAGAGCCAAAGAATACGTGTATTTATAACAATGTATCAAATCAAAAATACTATACAATGCCATTAAACTTTATTGACTACATTGATTATAAGTAGAAGATAACTGCTACTGCATTTTGAGGGTGAATTTTTCAAAGCCAACTTTTTCAGAAGTTTTATCTCTCACAGAAAACTCAAGTCAAATCTATTTTCTGCTTGCTTACTTTCTTAAAATAGATAATATTTTTTTTATTTTAAACACCAATAAAATGTCCTCGGTTCCCATCTCCCACAAGGGGGAGGGGTCTTTTATTAGGCCTTGCTACACATTTATAAGTTTCCAGATATATTTTTTGCACCTTGGTCCTTAACCTAAGAGTTACTTTGTGGCATGTTGTTTTCCAGTCTCATGGTAAGTTTGGAAATATTTAGAGATTCAGAGACATATTTATAGAATCTGTTCAAAAAGTTGTATACATGACACCTGATTGCTTTGGACCAAAAGATTTCAAAATTAAGAAAGGCTTAGCTTAACATGTTGTTTAAACACCCATCCATAGTACTGGAAGATTAGAATATGATAAGGGGATCTCTACATTTACCCTGTAATATAGGGGAAATTACCTATTTGCTGTTTATTATATACTGTTTTGGCTGTATTTTAACAGCTTATCCTAGACGCACAGATTATTATATAGATTTAGGACAATGGAAATATTAATGCTGTGAAAGTTTATAAATCTGGCAAAGTTTCAAATGGAGCAGATCAGTGAATTATTTCTAAATACTGCTATGCTATGTTTTTCTTAAATATGGCTTCACTGTTGTTATACCACGTTCAAATATACGTTAATATTTTTGTTAAATAATTCAAATGTATTTGTATAGCTATGGTAAAGTGTTATTAAGAACTCATAGCTGTGAACCATAAAAAGTATTATAAATTCACTTTTGTTATTTTCCTCTTCTGCCAATCTGGAAGATATAAATGGGATCATGTGATATAAAAAAAATCCTAAAATTCTTCATTTAATGTTATAGAACTTTTACTTATAATTTCAACTTTAAAAAGAAAACCATACATACCTGTCGTTTTTCTTTTTTTGGTGGTAGTTGTTACTTTTCATTTTTAAGTAATTCTGACCCACATCTAAATGTTCTTAAATTTTCTGGCAAACCTGGAAAGCAATAATTTGTTTTAGTTGTGCATATGTATAATAATATTCCTTATTTTTTAAAAATATAATGTATTATAGAGTAGACAGATCCTTCTTGAACAATTGATCTTTCATACATGGTTTGACGGAACCCAATCTGGATAGCATTGCTTATATCAGCAATGGGGGATCTCTTTATTATATCATTACGAGAAACTCATTTGGTGGATTTTGAATATTTTAGGTAGATTTTTAAGCTATTGTCTTCCTTTTTCAACTGTATATAATAGCATTGCTGGATTTCATTATACAATAACATTGTTTCAAAATGTGAGCCTCTATGTATAGTTAATAAATGGTAAAAAAGTTTTTAAAATAAAGTCGAGATGCATTTAAGAAAGCACAAAGATTTGTAGTAATCTTTTATTTTAGAATGGGTAATTTTACAGATTTATGGCATAGAAGGGTAAGCACCCCCAAATCTCTTTCTCTCTCTCTCTCTTTTTGGTATTGTTGGCAATTGTATGCATGTGAGAAAGGCCTTAACATTTTCTGTTCTATGCATAATTATTTTAGTTGCAGCTCTGGTTGTGGCTATCTTGGATTTGAGAGTAAATTTATGAAAATATAGCTACTTAATTATCAATATAATATTTTTCTAGGTTTTTTCATGGGATTTATGTAAATTATTTCTTTGTTACATGTAATCATATATTAAATGGTATAAATATTAAGTCATTTTTTCCTTCAAAATCAGGCAATACACTTAATCTACTTATATTATTTTGAAAAATATTTACTGTAAAAAATTAATTCAACTCAATATTTTCATTATGCTTGTAGAAAGCGGGTAATTATTTTTAGAAGATAACACAAGATCCAACTGGTGAAACTCTTTCATTTATTGCGTTCCCCCTTATCCCTGATCTTTTGGTTCTGAAATTTCTTGCATTTGATCAAAGAATTTTAGACATTTTTGTAGCATTACGTAAAAATACCCTTTAAAAGAATACCCATCAAATTATTTTAAGAATTGATTAGTTTTCTGAATTACATAAATTGAGAAATTTAAACATTCATCTTATTCATTCTTAGGGGAAGTAAGTCTCAATGAATTCACAAGAACTATCTTCTGAATAGGCATGTATACATTTGCATAGTGGATATTCAATATTGAAGGACACATACTTCTAGGAACAAGAGGAAGACCATGTTGTCTTCTAATATGCCAACAGCGCTTCCTCTTCTTACAAAGAAAGCTCAAATTCGGCAAGAGACCTCCTAATATTTTAAAATAGTGCATTTCATGGATCATAGTTTTATATTGCACATTTTCTATATATGGTTTTATAACTAACTGCATTTGTATCAATAATGGGCACTGTTACTAATTTCGGGTGGCGTTTTCTACCATTGAAGGATACTTTATTTATTTAAATATTTATAATACAATCTTTCTTACTGTACGATAGACATTGGAAAAATGTTTGAAATCCCTTTTTGGTTTTATAAAAGGAAAAATTCACATAAAACACGTGAAAAGGTAGATAATGCTCTCATTAGCAAGTTAGATTGTATACATAATATTTTTTTAAAAGGGTAGAAGCCCTTGTATACATGCATACATACATAATGCATTTTAAGACACATTAGCTTTTCAGTTCTGTTTCTTTTCTTTTTTTCTTCAAATATTTGTGGCTTAGAATGTATTAAAGCCTTAATATGTTTGATACTATTATTGTTTGCTAAATAAAGATCAGAAAGCTTAGTTGAAAGATTTGTATATTATTGTGTGTGGAAATTATTATTTTTTGTTGGTGTGAAATTATTTTTATATATTCCACTTTATTTAGCATTCTATTGTATTACATTCACACATTCAACCTTAAATTAAAAAATATTTTTATCATATATCAGATGGTAATTGGCTGATCATGTTCAGACTTTCAAAAGTTACAATTTTTGCCAAGCATATAGGAAGTTGGTCACATCATTCACAAGAGGGTCAGGGAAAAAGCAAACGAATATACTTCTTCCTTTTTGAAAAAAAAAATGGATGAAAATTACAGTGGTCTTGTCGCAGACTTGAAATAATTGATTTTGGAGTTACCCTATTGACTTTAAACAGCTGACTATTGTAAAGTCAGCTGTTTAAAGCTTAGAGTCTCACCTTTCTGACCCAAAATAACATTTGCTGCAAAGTGCCATGAGTTTTATTGAACTTGCTTGTTTTAGCAAATACGATTCACACTGTTATAGCAAAATATTTTCAGCACTTGATATGTGGGACTGAGTGACAGCAGAAAGTTGATTGCATGATATATTTTAGAGATTTTCTTCCTTTGTTATCAGAATGTAGAAATATTTATGTCTGTACATAATATAGGTGTTGCTCTGTTATTGGCCTAGTTGTAAGTTACAGTCACCAGTTCAGAAGACATAAAACCTTCACACCTTTACCTTGTGGTAATTTTTTTTCTACTTTGATTATTTTCAGGATGAATTTCATCCCTTCATTGAAGCACTTCTTCCCCATGTCCGAGCATTTGCGTACACATGGTTCAACTTACAAGCTCGGAAGCGAAAATACTTTAAAAAACATGAAAAGCGCATGTCAAAAGAGGAAGAAAGAGCGGTGAAGGATGAATTGCTAAGCGAAAAACCTGAGGTTAAACAGAAATGGGCATCCAGACTTTTGGCAAAGCTTCGGAAAGACATCAGGCCTGAATATCGGGAAGATTTTGTTCTAACTGTGACAGGGAAAAAACCTCCTTGTTGTGTTCTTTCCAATCCAGACCAGAAAGGCAAAATGAGAAGAATTGACTGTTTACGGCAAGCAGATAAGGTCTGGAGGTTGGACCTTGTTATGGTGATTTTATTTAAAGGTATTCCGCTTGAAAGTACTGATGGCGAACGCCTTGTAAAGTCCCCACAGTGCTCAAATCCAGGGCTATGTGTACAGCCCCATCACATAGGGGTTTCTGTTAAGGAACTCGATTTATATTTGGCATACTTTGTGCACGCAGCAGGTAAGTGCCTATATTTAAAGTTGTCCACTGTTGAATACGTTTGTTGTGCAAGGACTTAACCACATGGTTATTCCATTGCGAGGCGTGCTTGCACCTGACCATGTAAGTTAATTAAACTGTGTTGCTTGCTCCGTCTATATGGTGGTCCAGATGACCTCAGAAGCAGAGAAGCTATAGATTGTGTAAAACTGCAATGTAGTTCAAGAAAAGTTATTGTGAAAGAACGGTGTCTTTCACTATTGGCCTAATGTGTAACGTACCTGAAGCATTTTCATTAGAATCCCTTTTGAAAATGCTTGGCCCTAGAATGTTGTCTATTTCTTAGTATTATTTTTTTAGTTTGGTGTAAATTTGACCACGAAGAAAAGAAATGAAAACAATATTTATGTGATATAAGTCAAATGTTAAATGGTTATCATACCTAAAAAAAAAATAGGCAAAAATAGAGGCCTTACTAGCTGCTATATCGATTAAAGAAATTTCTACTTAATGAAGAAAAATTAAAATATGTACTTAGTAATTGCTCTATATAAATAGAATATTATCGATTTTAAAGAATGGTTTATTAATTTAACAGCGCTGCATGGTGGAAAATGGATATATGCATTGTTTTTTTTATTCTTAATGCAAAATAATACATTTTTCTGCAGCCTGCTTTGAGGAAGTTTGTTACCTTATGACTTTTGGTGGCTAACATGAGCACCAGAGTGATATTTCTAAGCAAGTCATTGTAATTTAGTTTGACCAAGAATTTAGTTTGGTTCAGATATGGAGAAGAAAAGACATAGATTTCTCAATTTGTTAAATGTATGCATCTGTGTTTGTACCCAGCCTTTTTAAATGTGAGGCATATTGTTAGCTTTTAGGTGGTTTTGTACAAAAGTGAAGTTGCCTGTGTCTATTTAACGGCTTTATATGTACTAGTGTTACTGTGATAATTGGTTTGTGCAGTTACAGTTTTGATTTTGTGCTATTGAATCACAGAGTGGTGTGCTCTGAATATGAACTATTATGCACTTTTCACTAATGAAGCATATGAAAATATTGATAAAGAGATGATTTTAAAAAAACCAATACTGTAAGTCTTTGACTTTTATTTGGGATCTGTGTTTTGTGTGTGTGTAATAATGGCTGTGTTTTATTAAGTGCAAATGTTTACAATAGATCGTGGCCTCCGTGAGAGTTCATAGCTCTCTCTCTCTCTATATATATATAGTACTGAGTGGAAAAATTCATGAATTAAGAATAAAAATAAAATATAGAAGTTTAATAAATTTGGTGTTAATGGCATATTGCAAACTCTTTTTGCACATTCGTTGATGTATAATGTGAATTTTAAATTGATTTTTAAAGGATTCATATTTCACTGAAAGTTTTTGTTAAATGCTATGCCTTTCTCACTTTGATTTAGTTATTTAAAGTTGTTATTTGGTAACATTGCAAAAAAGCCCAAAAGCTATAACATATTTTCTAAAACTATAATTGCGCTATAATATTGTTAGCAAAAATAAAACGCACAAAGTGGAAAAAGAAACAATAAATACAAGTAGGCCGAATATAACCCTTTGCTGCATTATAGATGTTAAGAGAATATTGTAATGTTTTAATTACAACTCCTCTGCTTTCCTATCACTTAAGAATAACAACTCTCATTTTGAATACCTTTTTCAATTGTTTTGAAAACCAACTAAACGTATTATACAATTCAACTATATAATTTATTCAAGACTTAGATCATTTGAGTTCAGTGTTTCTATATAAAATACAGGTGGTACTTGTAGTTTTGTTATAAATAAAAATAGATTTGTAGTACTTTTAGAATACATATTATTATAGTTTATTACATGTTTGTATTGCATCACATTTTATGCCCTGTTTTGGAAAATATTTCAGTAATCACCTGTAAAGGATGAAAAGCATATCTATTATCCTTATATGCAATATATCACTGGCAACATTCATTATTTGTAAATGAGGGAGAAAGATTGTACAGGTAATCCTGTACTTATGGCCATGATTGAGGCCAAAATTTTTGTTGCTAGGTCAAACATTTGTTAAATGAATTTTGCCCTGTTTTATGACTTTTGCCCCGTTTAATGACTTTTCGTGCCTCAGTTGTTAAGTGAATCACTGCCATTGTTAAGTTAGTAACACTGTTGATAAATAAATCTGGCTCCCACATTGACTGTTTATCAGAAGGTCCCAAAAGGGGATCACATGACCCAAGACACTACAACGGTCAATAAAGCATCCGAATGTGAATCATGTGAGTATGGGGATGCTGCAGTAGTCATAAGTGTGAAAAATGGTCATATGTCCTTTTTTCAGTGCCGTTATAACTTTGGTCACTAAATGAACTGTTGTAAGTCAAGGATTACCTGTACTTGAAGTCTGCTTTATTCTGATATTTCTCAGAATCCTTTGTCACCCCAGAATACTAATGAGGTTCATACTAACTTCTCTTGGACAGGTGTAGTAATGAAACTGGCATTTATTTGTTTGTTTGTTTATTATTTTAAAAAATTTATAGAGCCACCCAACTCACACATAGGTGACAGCTTATAGTTTACACCAGATGCGAACACTAACACAAGTTTTAGGCATTCATTGTTGTCAAATGTTTCCAAATGGCGGTAACCTTATTAATTATGGTAAGGAATTTGCCAGTATAAAATGAAGAAATAATACAAAAATCGACTTGCATGCAATGAGAATTGAACAGCAAATCAGAAATCTTCAACATTTTTATCTGGTAAAACTTTTGTTATCAGAAATGGAAAGAAATTCACATTGTGTAAGATTTTTGTCATATAAGTATGTATTAAAATTATTGTGATGTCTTCACTCCGTATATTATTATTACTATTACTTCATACTCTTCTGAGGTAATTTAATTGTCAATCTTTTCTAGACAAGCTGTCCCTTTCTTTTTAAAAGTTCGTGTACCATGGTTGCTTTAAAAATCTCATGTTTTCCCACATTTTACCTTTTTTCAGTCTAACTTTTTAAATTATTTAGCCACGCTGTCCTATTCCAACTAGACTAAATCACAAAAAATATTGGTCCTATGTAGTAACAAGAAAATGCAATTTCGTGACTAAAAATATTTCCCTTATATCCAAAATAAAGTGAACAATAAGTCATCTGCTTGGAGGTCTCAAGATGTTTATTCTGATTTTACAGTACGGAAAGAGGGGGGGGGGAGCTGACTTCTGTGAACCTTAACTAAAAAAAGAGATATGTGTGTTTGTGTATGTATATATAAATAAGTGTGTGTGTGTGTGTGTGTGTGTGTGTGTGTGTGTGTATGTATGTATGTATGTATGTATGTATGTATGTAATTTATATATATCTTGATTCTGCTTCCCTAGTATCAAATGACAAGTTGGAAATGATTGTGGCAAACATTGTTTCTTTGTGGGAGTATAAGTCTCCAGGAAATTTATGACCAGTCTTTTAACCAGATGATCTGTATCAGAATCTCCCATATCTAGGCACGTGGCAAGGTCACCATTTAAGTTGTTGGGGTCACAACCTTCGCCACCAGGCATTTGACCTTTGTGATAAAGTTAACCTTTGTTCATTAGGAGCCACTCAAGCAAGAACTTCCTTGTTTTTTACTGCGGCAGCTAACAGGATCACATTGTTAAAAGTAATTCTTAGCTCAAGTATTGGGTTCAGTGCAAAAGTTTAAAGATTTTCTGTGTGGGTTTCTTTTCTCCTTTTTTCTTCTTTTCTTTTTTAGCCTTTTTCCTGCAGGCAAAGCTGTATCCTGTTGGCCACACAATAGTCCAAGGCTTTATCTATTGCTTGTTTTGGATATGACTTTTAACAGCACAAGCCTGTTCATTTTTGCTATGAAGTAAACTCCACGGCCTTATTCCACAGTGAATTTATTTATTTATTAAAGAATGCAATCTATATTTGAAAAAAAAATAGTTAAAAAAAACTTCAGGAGGAATTTTTCAAAATTATAAAGTGTATTAAAAAAGCTAGGCCTTTTACATTTGAATTAGGTTGTTTTGTATAGATTTTAATGCGATTAAGTACTGAATCTAAACTAACTACAAGGCCAATTTAATTTTGATAATGGTGAAAATGTATTTTGTTCTGGAAATAAATCAGTGTCTAGATGGGATCATGTCTTTAATCTGAAATAAGATGATACATATTCAATAATAAAATATATTGGATACTGTTATAGGATTTGGACTTTGTAATTTTATAATAATAATAAATGACATTCATTATACTCATCCTGATAATAGATCATTTTATATTTTGCAGCAGCATTTTTTCAGGTATACAGTAAGTTGCAAATAAAATAGTTACAAGTCTTTGTAGTCCATGATACTGTCCAGGAAAAACAAAGTTATTTTATCATATATTTCTAATTCTAATTTTATCATATATTTCTAATCTTATCATATTATTTCAACATCAATGTAGGACTGAGGATTTTTCTTAATTATTTTATCTTTTTAAATAATAGTTCCCTTTTCTTGTTCAATTACTCATTATTTATTATAAATAAAATGAAAACAAATAACCTTTGTTTATATCAGATAGCATTTTCCTTGGTTTCTACTTATTACTGCTATTCCTTTGAATGATAGTACATGATTTGCTGATTAACCAGATGGCCAAGGTAACAGATTGGGAACCTGCTCTGAACTAATAAAAAGCAGGTGTAAGATCACAGAGGTTTCTAGTTTCTCCCCAAATGAATTAGAAATTCCTTTTAGAATTGTATGTGACTCATAGTAAAGATAATTACATTTCGTTTTAAATTTAAGCTATAACATTAAATATGTTTCATTCTCAATATCTGAACCAGATGCCATAATGAACGTAGATTCAAGTAATTCGATGATCTGTATCAGAACTTAAATTATTTGGGTATCCAACATTGTTTGGATTCTGTGTGTACATTAAATAAATAAATCACCAAGGAGCATGATTTTAAATATGATATGATAGTCAGAAAGATTTTGAATAAG